AACCACACCAAGTCAGGATGAAATGAAGAAACTGAATATTATCATAGAGACTAGAAGACTTGTCATATACAGAAGCATTTTGTATAAGTACTGTAAGAGGTAAAAATCAAGATATGAATATTATAGAGCCATTAGTATAGTTCAATATAAGAAAAGAGTTCTTATGCTCAGAACAGGTCAAATGAAAAAATGCCTCCTCTGTTCAATATGAATCTTTATAGTTTGCCTAAATCGATCTTAGCATTCTCTGTGAATTAGGAAATAAGGTCATCTGCTAAGAATGAAAAGAGTGAGTATAATTTGGGCGGACTGGAAAACCTGGAAAAATCTAGAACATGTACTATGGAGAATGTGATATGGCATTAACCAAGAAAGAATAAAGAAACTTCCTAGCACTGTTAACTACTCCTTAATCTGAAGTTACAGAGAATCAATTTGTAGTTGGCCAAAAGATACAGTTTTATCACTTTGTCCAGCTAAATTCCACAGCAAAGAAGGCAGAGCAGACATTAAAGAAAATGAAGCAGAGATTGGGAAGGCAGGTTCTGGTAAGTGCAGTAGCAAGAGATTTGAGGACTGGAGCCGAGTTGCTTGGACATTGCTGTCCAAGATTAGTGGTAAGCAAAGAGAGGAGAGCATGAGAAAATTGGGGGTATCCAAGGGACAATCATGGGAGAGGAAGGTGTTGAGTGGTAGTGAGTGAGTGGAATTATTGAAGGATAGGAGGTTGTGGTCAGAAACAGAATATGAGATTCTCAGCTTTTTCAACTGGGGCAATTCTGAGTGATGAGAAGGCCCAGGTTGGAGACTACCTGTGCATTTCCAAAGGGAAGTGGAGCAGGCTAAGGTCCTGTGAAAGCCGAACATGGAGATTTGAATGAAGTCTTAAACAATAACAGCTGATTAAAGTGTAGAAAGGAAAACCGTCATTATTTTAGATTCCAGAGGAAAGTGGAATATTCAGGTGGTCAATAAGCACCGGTAATGGAGAGAGGGTAACACTAATGAAAGATATAAACTCATAAAGACAGAGGGTAATTGGGCAATGGTGAAAGACATAATAGTTTAGAAGCAGTTCTGAACAGGCTGCAAGCCATATGACAGAAGAGCACAGAAGTGTCTCTGTATGACCAAGACCATGTAGGGTCATTGCAAAACAAATATCATCTTCAAATTGTATTCTAGAATAGAACAACCTATAGCATCAAAGCACAAAAAAATTAATTCAACAATTACAAAGGCAACAAAATTAAGCTGATTAGACACTATGTGCCAGGCACTGTGGAGCCAATGATGAATATCCTCAGGGAGATTTCAGTTTGGTGGGAGATAGGGACAACTAAACAGGTACTCTCAACGTAATGTGGCATAGCGAAAGAGGATACATGAATAGGTCAGACCTGGAAAAAAACATCAAGATTAAGAAGTTTTCCTTGGTCTGCCTGACTCCTTTTCCCCAGGGTGTTCACTCTCAAAGCCATTGTCTTCAGTTGGCTTCCTGCTAATTCCTGCTATGGGGAGGAGGAGGTGGTGGTATGGGAGTTAATTAATTAGAGGTGCCTTTGATTTTCTGAAAGGGAGGGTTCATTTTAATAAAAAGATTACTAATGGCCAGAAAGCATTCCAGGGAATTGAAGCTAGTAACTACAAGCAGTGAGAATCGCATTTTTGTGGAAAGGAGAGATCACACCCCTGAGCTTCTCAAGGTTTATGAGGCAGCCTTTCTCTCCTACTGTAGGCTGAGAGGGGAGCTGGCCTAAAATCTTCACTCCTCACAAATAATTCTGTTCATACTCTATGAGCCTCAAGGCTATAGGAACAGGAAGCCTGTTGGCCTGAACCCAAACCCAGGGGAGAGAAAAAAATACAGAATGGGTCAGACACTTCTAAACTCTTCGAGAGAAATAAAGGAAGCAAATAGGATTTAGGATAGCCAAAAAGTGACTCCACCCCCAAATAAGACAACTAGTCTATGGGCAACGAAATTTGTTCATCTAAAGACCTAAAAACTGCCTAAAGCTCTTTTTGTAGCAAGTCGAGATGGAGATACTTAAAACAAAACTATTGCACAGCCACCTAATAAACACTTACTGAAGAAATTTAGACGGCTTAGAGACTAAAAACCATTGAAATTATGAATATTTTAGACAGAAAAATATCTGTTACTACAAATATGCAGAAAAGTAATAAATAGTAATGTTCAAGAAAAGTTGCTAGGGTAAATATTTATAATTAAGCAGTATAAAAATCTGTGCTATAAAAGTTGTATATTCTAGCAAATAAAAGAAAAGCTAAGCAACTTTCTGGCAAATCTGACATACAGAAAACATTCTGAATAGCTATTTTACTCCAAAATGTTTTCCCATCAGGAACATACATTTTGATTTGGTTTATCCAAATATTCGTTTATCTTTCCATTTCTCTTTACCTGGAGAGATTCATTCTTAATGCTAATTTGATTTTTATTTATTTCCGGAAAAAAGGTTAATTAGAAATTTTGGGGGTACGTCTGTTGTTTTAAACTAACTTGTAAAAAAATCAATATTCTCCCCCCTTACACTCATATTGTTAGAAAATGCAACCTACAAATATAAATACAAAATTTAATTTCCCATGTATGGCTCCTGACAAAATTCAAGGTTATGCAATATCTTTATTTATCAAAAAAAGTGATGACAAAACTACTGATATTTAGTCACAAAAATATTTCATCAACATATTCATAATAGAAATGATTTAATTATAGTTATCAATTACTTCTTTAGCTTTTAGTACAATATGATATTAATTAAAAGTTTTTCAAATTAATGCCTTAAAACAAGATTATTTAATAAACCAAAGTTATAAGAGATATAAGTACAAAGCATTGTGAAGTTTTCCTTCACTTCTTTTTCCACATTTCATTTTCCTTTGGTGTTGCCAGATATAAATAAAATAACTTTACATTCCTTTCTGCATTCTCTAAATGACATAAAACTCTCTTAAACGTTATTTTATACCTGGACATCCAGAAACAGTGCCTTTACAGGTCTATTTATTTGTAAACACTATGAAACACCACACCAAGCATAAGTACTTTATATTTTTGTTGGGTTTCAAAGAAAGAAAAACACAATTTTTACTTTCTCTGTCTAACTGGAAAGAAATCTTACAGTACAAGAAGAAACAGAAGACACCCATCTATTCATTACAAATTTCTACTAAAACTTCACCTACCTCAGTTTCCTAACTGATCCATTTAAAAACACACAAGTGGGTCTACGTTATATGGAATGTTTAATTATTGTAACAGTATTTAGCTATTCCAGAATTTTTCCTACCATTACTCTATGTCTGCAGGCTCTATGTAGAGAGTCTATTGTTTTGGCAAGAAAAAGTGTAGCTTACATATTTTAACTGTGTGGTTCTTATTTTTCTATTGAGTCACAGATCTCTCTGGATATCTCAGGACTCTGGACTATTTCCCTAAAAATGCAGCAACTCAAAGTTTAAATACAATTTCAGGGACTTCAAGACCTCCCGAAGCAAAACCACAGACCGAGTTGCTTAGTAAATGAACAGAGCATAGACTTCCCAGATGACCTCCACTGAAAGAGTATTAAGTTTATATGGCTTCTTAACAAATGAAGGTTTGCTTCAGGATTTTAGACATTCATATCGTTGTTATGATGTTGTTAATGATTTTTACCACTCTTCACAACATAGTACCTGAAATGACCACTGCTGAAGAGAAAAATATGCCATTTTAAGAAAAGCAACAGATCAGTTCTACATTATGAACCAAGATACAAAGATCTACAACAATCATTAAGTGCTTCAACGTTTATCTACATGTAACTGAAGTCAATGATGTTCCTACCAAAACCAGTTCTAGTAAGTAGGTAAACATTGAATGAAGTCACCATCAGAGGACGAAGCTCGAAAAGTCACTAGTAAACATGCCATAAATGAAGCTCGAATTACAAATACACTCTATATATGACCTGTTATATTTAAAACTCAGAGAGCACTCCCAGATGTTGGAAATCAAGATGCCTTCGACGAGTAACCAGTAAGTGAGATGTACAACCTTCTGGTTTACTTCAGAAGAGGTAAACTGTCAAGTGCAAAATGAAGGAACTACTATGTGAAAACAAGTGAGCAAAAGAAAGATGCATGAAATCTGGAACCTGAAATCACACGAACACATTGCAACGGTACCCCTCACACAAATGTCACAAGGAGGCTCCTCAGCCCACGGAGTGCAGGCACAGATCTGACGCGTAAAGACGATTATAACCCCAGGCTCCCTGTTCCCCAAAGAGCGGCAGTCATAATGAAAACAGAAATCGGACCTCCAAGCAGTAATTAACACGCGCGCGTGCACGCACGCACGCACACACACAGACACTTACTCTGAGCCCCCGGGCAGCTCCAAGGTAAGTTTGCCGGCTGCTTTCTCTAAGCAACCCAGCGATCCTGGCTGTTTGCTCTCGAGGAGGGGGAATCACTCACCGACGCAGCAGCCAGCGAGCTGAAGTGGCGGTAAAGCCCGGGCGCGGCCTCCAGCCCCGCCGGCTGTGAGCTCGGGGCGTCCCTTGGCGACTCCAGCTCGCCCTCCCGTGCGCCGGAGGCCGCAGCGCTGCGCCGGGCTGGCCGAGCCCGCCGCCGGGAGCCAGGGTCGTGGGAGAGCTGCGGCCGGGGCGCGCCCCCCGCGTTCTCACGCCCGGGCCCTGCGAGCGCTGTAGACGACACTGCGCGGCCCGGCGCCCACCCCGTGTCAGTTCTCCCCCCTCGGGCGCCGGAGGTCCCCCGAGCCCCGAGCCGGGCCCCCGGGCGCTGTCTCTTTTGCTCCCTCGCTCCTCCCCAGCGTGGGAACCGGGCTCCGGGCCCCCGGGGCTGGGCAGCTGGGATCACGAGGACGACTTCCCAGGGAGGAAGAAGGATAGTCCGGGCCGGGGGCCCGAGGAGAGGGACCGTACCTCTGGGGAACCCCGCGTGGGCACTCAGCGACCACTTACTCGGTGGTTTCCCAGAGCCTGGGGCAGCGTTTCCGGATCTCCAGCAGCTCCAAGGCGCGCCTCGCGAATCCGCACTGAGAACGCAGAAAGAGAGTGGGCGTCAACGGCGGGAGGCCGTGGGCGGGAGAGGGGACCCTGCAGTGGCACCTGCCGGTCCCTGCGCGAGTGTACCCAGCGCGCACGCGGCCGCGACGCTCCCACTTGGGCTCCCTCCTGTCTACCTGCTCAACAGGCTGGGCGGGACGCGCCGCGCCTCGCAAACCCGCTTCCCCGCCCTGCTTCGAAGCAATCCCTTCTCGCTGTGGTCGCTCTGTGTCTCTGTCTCTCTCTCTCTCTCTCTGATGACCCTCAAAGGATCCCTTGCAGTTTCTCTTCCTACTGCATTGGACTTCTTTCCAGAACCCTCCTCTTCCCTGCACCGAAAGACTGAAAAAGAAAGTAGCGGCTAAAACGCATCATGGTGAAGTCACTCAGGGCCCGGGTCCCTGGGCTGCTCTCGGGGCTCCCGCCCCCGCAGGAGTGGGGCGCCTGGGGCTGCTCCCCCTGCCTCTCTCTGCTTTTTGCCTCAAGTCTAGAGCAGCGAAAGTGTAGGAAAACTGCATAGAAACCTGCTTGTGGAAAACCAGCTTCGTGCTGAGTCCCACCCACTATGCCCAGACTGGAGCAGGGGAACTGAGTCCTGGCCCCTCTGTCTGCCCAATCGCCATCCCAGCAGTTACAGTGTGGAAGGAGCGACGAGGGGAAGGGAACAAAAGAGGAGAAAGAAAAGAGAGGGAGGGAACTCAAGGAAAATTTGGCCCACTTAAAAAAAATCTTCTCTAGAATGCATTGGTCCGCAAAAAATGGTAGTTAAAAAAACACCAGCATTCCTGCTGGGAAGTTGACGCTGGCACGAATGGTTTTCTTATCCTGGTTTTCAGGTTTAAAGCTAATCGTCTCCTTTGCAAATATAATTCTATGGTTGTAGAACATTTAGCTCTTTCCAGTAAGGCCCTGATTCTGCTTGGTTCAGTATATTGAGTTCTACTCGTTGGGGGGGGGGGGGGGGGGGGGGGGGGGGGGGGGGTGTGTGTGTGTGTGTGTGTATTCCAGCACAGAAAAAAAAGTTCTGTTATGAATGTTTGTGAGTCACCTTTCTGACTTAAAACTAAAATCTCATTATGCTATTTCATTGTGAATTCACAATTAATCGTGATTATGTGATCCTTCTTCATATCCAGCAACTCTGAGAGAACTTGTTCATGGTTATCTCCAATTCTTGTATTTCTCCCTAAACCCACCAAGTCTGGTCCCATTTTAGGCTCACCACATTTGAAAATTTTCCTCCCAGCCTTGCCTACTGTGTTCTCCTCTTGCCAAACGTTAGTCAGAATAAACAGAAAAAAAGACATTTAAATAAGGGAGAAAAAAGGTATTTAACTAAACTTTACTTTAGTATCAGGCAAAAGTTCAGAGCTATACATTTTCATTTTTTAGTTCTGCCATCTCTGAAACATCTTTCTCTACTCCCAACTCCTGATAGTCTCTTTGCTAAGTAGGGCTTTTGCCCTCAGAGTACTGAGAATTTAAGAGCTAGAAGGAAAAACAGAAAGAAATATTAACACATAATTGAAAGAGGGTCTCTTACCATTTTTCAAAAAAATAGATTTAATGGTATGAAAGCACAGAGGAAGAAGAGAGATCTTCTGATAGGCGAAATACTTCATAATGAAGCAGCCTTAGAGTTAGGCCTTAAAAAATTGCTCTTCTTTGGGAAAAGATAGAAATTGAGGAAGTTTTTGTTTTTGTTTTGTTTTTTTTCAGGCAGAGGAAAACTTGTGACCAAAGGCATGGAGGTGAGACGGCATGACACCGATATTCAAGAAACAGACAGGGATGTCATTTGGTAGAAATGCAAAGTACATGAAAAAAAGTATACAAAGCTAAGATAGAAAGATCAGTTGGGTCCAAATGGCCTTATTTGCCTGTCCTCTAGTTGTCATGCATTGTAGGCTTGTGTAAAGCCTGTTTTTTTGTTTTTGTTGTCCTCTACTGGCTTGACTCTTGTCAATATTCCTTTCATCCTGGAACATGACTTGCTTAACCTATTCATTTCTGTCTTTACCAACCTCGAATTCTATAGCACACGGAACTCCTTGATAAGAACTGCAGTTAACCTCAGTAATTTCCACCAGGGGCTATTTGGTTTTACCAAGGGTAAACTCTTAGCTGGAAAGTGTCTTGCATTTGCCTTCTCCCATCCTTTGTTAATATCAGGCATTGGAGTATATGGGGAAAGCAACCAATCTAGGGTGCTTGAACCACCAAACAGTGATTGTGAGAGACATGCTCTAATCTAGATGTTTGCTATGCGCTGAAAAATACTGAGTTCCTTGGTGTTAGGGAAGTAATCTTTCCAGCCTAAGTGCCTAGCAAAGAACATATTTCATAGTAGGGAGTCAGTAAAGTGACTGTTGAGTGGATAAATGAATTTCTGAATATTTCATCATCTTCCAGGTCCGTTCTTCTGTCTTGTAGATGGTGTGTAAGTTAAAACCTACTTGCCTCCACTTTATTGAGAAACAGAAAGTTGTCATGACAACTTAATAAAAATGTTAACAAGGACAAGTATTCAGTTTAAAGCAATCCTCGGTAGCCTTGTCAGAAAAGCTCCAGCAGAAAGGATCTGGCAGAAAAGCTCAAGATTTTCTTCTCAAGATGCTTTGTTTTTCCTGTCCCCACAATTGAAAACAATACAAAAGCTTTCGAAGGAGGTCGGGTGTGTTCAGAGTGGAAGGCTGTGGATGAAAAGCATTCAAATATGTATTCTTTTTACACTTGCAAATGACAGTGGCAACCAGAGGTGTTCTAATTCCTTGCTACTCACACTGTGGTCTGTGTATCAGCAGCATCAGCAGGATGATCTTGTCAGAAATGCAGAAGCTTAGACCCCACGCCAAACCTGCTGAATCAGAATATTCATTTAACAAAATCTTCATGCATTCCTATGTATTTTAAAGTTTGAGAAGCACTCATCTACAATCAACTCATTAAATAGGCTAGACCTAGAAAGGGGTTGTATGAATCTGTTTAAACCAGGGATTTTTAGAACTAGCACCTTTCTTTTTTCTGGAATATTATTGCCATATCACCTCAAATAAAGTAATGAACTAATAGATTCATCTCTACTGGTTTCTTGGTCCAGTTCATAAGCTAAAAACACAAATTCATAAACCAAAGGGAATTGAGAGAAAGCAGCAGAAGGAATGCAGCAGAAGGGAAAAAATGAGAGGAACGTTGTACAGTGTTGTATACTTTTTTTTTTAATATCTCAGGGGCACAACTTCACTTTATCTTTTAGCAAACAAAAAAAGCACTGATTGTACTATTTATTCAAATCAGGATAACTTGTCAAGCATGAGAAAACTAAGATAAACTTCATTATCTTTTTTCCTCTTTGTTACTCTTTCTTCCTCCTTTTTGTCTTAAGATTATTTGTTTTCAATTTATTTTAAGCATACCTAGTTGGATAAATTTTACCCTGGTGAATTATTGGGACCATGCTAGCCCTCCAAAATGTCTTTTTTGGAATGTGAAATTTTAATTAGGAAAAGCAGATCATGTGAGGTTGGAGTCCCTAAATTTCTAATCGTGGTTCAGATATTCATGAAGCAGCTTGGACTTTAAGAGACTTCAGTGGTGACAGAAGTGTTGCTTACTATATTTTCTCAAAACAATTGATATTTGTTAGTGGTAAATTGAGTGGCACTCAGAATAATGCCCTTCCACTCCCAGCCCAAAGAGGTCCTTGTCCTAATCCTGGAAACCTGTGAATATGTTGTGTTACACGGCGTATGGCAAGGGAGAACTAAAGTTGCACATAGAATTGGGGTTGCTAATCAACTGACCTTGAGATGGAGAGATTATCCCAGATTATTCTTCTTGGTCCGTTGTAATCACAAGGGTCCTTATAAATGAAAGAGGGAAGCAAGAGAGTCAGAGTCGGAGAGAGTCAGAGTGATGCAATGTGAGAAAGACTTGATCAGTAATTGCTGGCTTTGAAGATGGAAAGGGGTTATTACCAAGGCATGTGTTCAGCCTCTAGGAGTTGGATAAGCCTAGAAAACTGATTCTCCTTTAGAGCTCCAGAACAGAAGCGGCCCTGCTAACACTGTGATTTTAATCCAGTGAGACGCATTGCCGACTTCTGACCTCCAGAAATGTAAGATCATACATTTGTATTAAGTAACTAGATGTGTGGTTATTTGTTATAGCAGCAATAGGAAACTAATATAGATTTTGGTCCTGGAAAGTGGAGAGCTGCTGCAACAAATACCTAAAAATGTGCAAGTTTGGAATGGGGAAATGGCAAAGGCTGGAAGAATTCTTTGGAGCCTGATTTTTAGAAAGCCTAGGTTGCTTTGAATGTGCTGTTAGAAAGAATGTGGATGTTAACTCTGTTAGTGTGATCTCTGAAACATGGTAGAGAAAAACCTGTATCATCTTACAGATTACTCAATATGTCATGAAGGGATGGCTGGTAGAAATATGGGTGTTGAAACTGCTCCCTGTGAGGGTGCTGACACAACTGAGGAACAGTTATTGGCAACAGGAGGAAAGGATATCCTCATTATATAGTGGCAGAACTTAGTTGAATCATAGTCTGCCAGTACAGAAATGACGAGTCTGGATATATAAAGGAGAAGATTTCTAAGCCAAGTATTGAAGGCACGGCCTGGTTTCTTCTTGCTGCTTGTTGTAAAATGTGAGAGGAAAGAGAGACTGAGGGAAGACTTATTAAGTGAAAAAGAACCAGGACTTGGTGATTTAGGAAATCCTCAGCTTATCTAGATGGGAAAAGATGCCATGCTATTCTTTTACAGGTAAACCCAATGTCCTTGTACTTCGGCGATACTGAGAGATTTTATTGATTCTCGTATTTGAAAAATCTGCTAAATGTATTGATACAATGGATCTGCATATTCTTATTTTATGTTCTAAAGTAATAGTTATATTGACTTTTAGCTCTGATATCATTACATAGCACTAGCATTCCATAAATTGTTTGTGCTTCAAGAGGAGACCAAAATGGTACCCTATGGACCTCAATATATTTAATGCTGCTTTAAAAATGCTACCTCATAGGAATAACTTATAATTTCATTGACTTCAGGAAACTGACAAGAAAGCATAGGTTGGAAACAATGACGTAAAAAGTCCCAAAGATGACGGAGGTCATGGATACTGCAAAATAAAGATTTGAGAAACTTCTTCAAAGGTATTTATTTAATGTAACTATGTCTACTCTATCCAGTAAAAGATTTTTTACATGAGTAAAAATTGACAAGTTTAAAACAAACAATTCAGCCATACAAAGGTATGTCTGTAAAAAAAGAGTCCATAGCTATGTTTAAGTGTTTATTCTAACTTAGTTCAAAAACACACTTAGTTTTCAATATTGCATTTTCTTGTCTAGCTTAGTCCCTAGCTCTCACTCTGCTTTCACAAGATTTCTAGGCCTTCCAAAATAATTAGTCATATAAAGACAGATTCTATTTTCTGATTTTTCTACTTTACTAATTTTTAAATAGAAAAACTAATGCCAGCTGCCAACAAAGAAGTTATCTGAGCTATTTTTAATAGCCCCAAACTGGAAACAACTCAAATGTCCAGCAACAGATGAGTAGATGAGCAAATTACAGTCTGTTCATATAATGGAATACTAGTCAGCAATAGAAAAGAAGAAACTACTGATACATGCAGTGGCACAGGTGAATCTCAAACATTATGCTGAGAGAAAAAAAAAAAACAGACGCAAAAGAGTACATACTGTATGATTCAATTTATGTGAAATTCTAGTAAGGGCAAAACTAGCCTGTAATGACAGAGGGCAGATCTGTAGTTGCCTGGAAACAGTGGGAAATTGCCAGCAAAGGGCACGAGGAACTTTTTGGGTGATGGAAAGGTTCCATACCATGGTTGTGGTGTGGTTATGAGAGTATACGCATTTATCAAAATTAATCGAACTGTACACTTGAAATAGGTCCATTTGATTGCATGTAAATTTACCCTAATAAAGTTGATTTTAAAACAAGAGCTGAAAACAACATCAACAACAACAATCAAAGTTATTAAAAGGAGGATGAACGAATTCTTTTCTGGGGTTCTAACATCTTAATTGTCAAGAAAAAATCGTAATAGTTAACATTATAGAATGTTAAATATGTGCCAGACACAGTTCTAAGCACTATATGTGTTAGGTCGTTTGTTTCCACCAATAATCCTCTGAGATAAGCACTAGTATTGCATCTGCTTAACATGGGAGAAAATTGAGTTACAGGGAGATTAAGTGACTTTCCGCAAGTCACTAAATTTTACCAGCTACCAAGTGGTAAAAGCAGGATTCAAACTCAGGTCATCTGGCTCATAACCCTGGGGTATGAGTCACTCTGTTCATTCTTTAAAGACTTTGTTAATTATGCAAAATAAAAAGGGCCGGTTCAGATTTATTAAACCAGATTCTTTGGGATCTGGCAGGTCCCAGATATCTGCATTTTAACAAGCGTCTGTAAATCATTCTGATGGTGGAAGATCAGGAACACTGAATGTTTCAATGTAGAAAAGTTGTCTTATTGAGAAAGTCCTTGGGCAGGTACACATTCCTGATACCATTATGTAATAAGCTTGGGTTTTCAACACCTGTACTTTAAACTGTTTATGTATTCTCTTAATTTCTTTACTTGACATTAGTTTAAGCTACCAGGTGAGCAGTGGAGAACATGAGTTGCGATAACTTTATTTCCTAGAGAATGGTTAACTAAATAAAGGTAGTGTGTTTCCATTTAACCATGCATTTATAGAAAGAGAGAGAGATGAAGAAATATAGAGACAGAGGGAGAGAAGGAATAAAGGGAAGAAGGAAGGAAGGAAGGAAGGGAAGAAGGAAATAAGCTTAATGAGGCAGGTGGGCAAAGAGTTGGAAGTATATTCAATAAAGCTACTTAAAGAACAAAGTATTAAGTTACTCATGTAACCTTCTCCCAATTCTTTAAGTGTCAGTAAGATTGACTTCGTGCTTCTTTTCATGGCAAGTCATCTTAAAAAATAACCATTGATTAAATGAATGCCTTTTACAGAGAGGTGAAAATTCTTTAACACTTTCTATTTCCAGGAACTGGACTTATAAACAACCCCAGAGCCCCTGTAGTTGAAGCTCCCAGGCATCTTTCTCAGCAGGATGACACTCTACTGTTTCAAGGGGGTCTTGCACAGCTGAGTTGAAATAGAGTTTTAAAAAGTGGCAGCCTTAATAGAATATCTCTTTTAGAGGAAAGCATTTAATCAAAATGAGAAGAATTTTTATATGTGAGTATAAATATGTGAACTTCTATGAGGCCTTCAATTTTAGGAGAACCATTCCAAGACAGCATGACCTACTGACCTATAGGTAAGAGAGCCATCTGTGTGGAAAGACATGTTTGTAAATTTTCAAATAATGGTAAAAGAAGTGAAAAATATACTTTAGTTAGTGTGCCCTCACTCCTTTTAAATATTGTAACAGATAAAACGTTTTCTGCTTCCTGTGTGATACTTTTATAATTTAAAGCTGCAAAATATGGTATGATAAAAATGATATGCCTTTCACTAAGCAGCCCAGTGGGAGTAAGGTCTGGGAATTTTCATTATTCTAACGGAGGATGCTCACCAACTGGTGATGTGTCGTACTAATGAGCTAATGAGTCTGTGCCAGAAACATCTAATGAATGGGCATCAATTTTGCTCTTGGTTTTCACTTTACTACTGAAGCCAAGATGTTTTCTTTGAGCTTGCTCCTAAGAGTGTTTTGTGGATGCTTCTCCTTCTTGGAAAAGTGAAGCACAAGGCACATAGATCTCAAAATTGCAAAAGGCAGCCAAGGAGACTCTTAAATGATAGTCTCACCAGATGGGGCCAAAAGGCGTATCCTGCGCCACGGTTTAAAAAAAGAAACTGATTCAAGTTTCAAAGTAAAGAGAACTCTGTTTTGACATAAAAAAAATGGCAAATTTTGCAGAGGCAGACTTGTTGAAATCTCATTTTATGAAAATGACAGTTATGGCTGCTGCTCTTATATTTATAAAATACTTTGTTTAAACAGTTGACGATATTACCTAAGGGAAGTAGTGTCTTACCAAATCTCTTTCTTCTTACTTTTTAGAGTATTCTATTTTGGTCTGATTATAAAAGTAGTGAAGTGATAAAAGGGGCCCTCCTTTTCCCACACCATGGCAGACGCGCAGAGAAACCCTTTCCTGTACAGAACACCTGACAATGCTGGATGAAAATTTAAACACAATTTTAAGGCTTAGCCAGGTTGGATGTCCAGACAGGATAATCAGCTGAGACTAGAAACAAGAAAGAAGGGCATCATGGGTAAGTAAGCATGGTAGCTGGCAATTGCTCCGAGGTTATCTGCCTATAACTGGCGGGCAGGAGCTTGGGAAATTGGGTAACATGTGCAAGGGAGATAGAAGACAAAACCAAGTAGAATAGGAAATGGTAACACACACACTTATTAGAAATCTTGGAACAGGGTGTTTTCACACGAGATGCTTTCCTTTTTTAGGTATTGACTCAGAATGGAGCAAGTCTCTTCTGAGTGTTCCTGACCCCAAGCCTGTACTGCCACAGATTTGGATTGGAAATTCATCAAAATTCAGTGGCTTAAAAATCTTCAGGCAGAACCTTTATTTTAAAGTGGCCATGTACTGGGAATGCCACAGGAGCCTGGAAGAAGCAAACACAAATCCTCACCAGGGAAATCTACTTTAAAGACAACCTTCAAGTAATTTTGATAGCTAAGGTCCCAGGAAAAATGAGCCTGTAATAAGGAAGTTACCAAATACATGAGGAAAAATGCCACCGTAAATGATAGAAAGGAAAGAAGAACTCAATAAATTAAAAGTCACATCTACAATGACTGAAAGAGTAGAAATTATTCAAGACAGAATATAAGTGTGTTTAATATATTTTTTAAAATAAAATGTATTCATAATATAAGAAAGGAACTAGAATATAAAACTTGACCAGTTAAAACTGGAACCAAAAAGAACTTCCAAAAATTAAAAATATCGTAATGAAAAATAAAATCTCATGGAAGAGTTAAATAGCAGATTAGATTAAAGTGAAGAGAATACTAGTGAACTGGAAAATAGGTCTAAAGAAATAACCAGTGTTTAGACAAAGAGTTGGATGAAAATATGAGGGACTGGTTAAGATGTATGAAGGATATTATCAAGAGAGAGTAGGGATTCAGTGGAAAGGCAATATTAAAAGGCACATCAGCTAAGGTTTTCCAGAATTTAATTCAGTCATCCATCTTCTTGTTAGCCCAACAATTCCCAAGAAGGATAAATAAATTTTAAAAAAGTTCACTCATAAATGCATTTGATAAAATAATCAAACCAAATATAAGGAGATCTTTCAAGTGACTAGAAAAAAACGAAGATCATCTACAATGGAACAACAATTAAATTGATGGCTAAATTTGCTAACTTCTTAACAGAAACACTTGAAGGTAAAAGAAAATAGACTGTTATCTTCAAAGTGCTAGCAAGTGCTGAGAAAAAAATAATTCTCAATTTCAAATTGTATATTCAGCAAAATTGACTTTCAAGAATTGGTAGATGGGGTGAGGAGAGGTGATATTAGGATTTTACAACTAACGTATCCTTAGTAAAAGAATTTCTAAAAATGTACTACATTTTTGTTAGAAAAAATATTAGCAAAATAGTATTTCCAATCAGATGATCTGAGAGCCAAGACAGAAGAGTGAGCAGAGAAAATAGTAAAAATGTAATATGTTAAGAATAAATATAAACAAAGGAATTGATTGCTAAAGTTTGACTAATTTCAAGTTAAGAACTTCCTTTCATCAAAGGCACTGGAGAGAGAGTAAAGAGACAAGTTATAAACAAGCTGAAGTTATTTGCAAAAGATAAATTAAAAATGGATGAAGAACTTTGTAAACAAACGGGTTTGTTCACATGCCTTATATTTTCCTTTATACATTTCCAGGAATTTGGTTTCTAGAGAATGAGTTAATTTATGGTTACTAATGTCACTTTCCAGATCATTTCATAAGTTTTAATCTATTTATAATCTTATCAACATTGTGCAAATGTTCTACATAGTTGCTATTATTTTTTATTAGAGATTTATGTTAGACATTTTTCATGAAAAATGAATCTCTAATTATATTACTTTCATAGGTGATTTTAAATATCTTATATACTTACTGGATTATTAATATTACCACTACCCCTTATTTTGTGAAATATCCGTTTATGTCTTTGCCCTTGGTTGAAGTATTAGAGTTTTTTTCTAATTCATTTGAAGGATCATCTTATAAATTTAGAATATTCACCTGAAACATCAAAATTATCAACCACTAAACTGAATTCTTCTTGATTAAAATTGTAAGAAACTATAGATCACAATGGAATTTAATGAGAAACTGTGAGAGAGACTAATACTCCATGCTGGGCTGATTATAGCTCTTTTCAAGTTAGTTAAAACTTATGGTGACCATAGTAGGACAATGAAAGAAGAACACGGGGCCTGGCCTGGTGGTGTAGTGGTTAAGTTTGGTGGCCCAGGGTTCATGGGTTTGGATCCCAGGTGCGGACCTACACATCATTCATCAAGCCATGCTATGACAGCATCCCACATACAAAATAGAGGAAGATTGGCAAAGATGTTAGCTCAGGAACAATCTTTCTCACCAAAAAACAAAAAGAGGAAGAAGAAGAAAAGAAGAACACAGGTGGAGGACTAGTCAAATAGGATGAGGACTTATTTAAAATTAAAATATGCATGCTTTGTTTCTTCTTACTATATTTACAGCCCCCTCTCTTTTTTTTCTGTTTACTGACATTAAAGAAAGCTGAAAAAACACTCCCTCCGATTATTCATTCATTAAAATATTTTTATTGAGTAACAACCACACACCAGGCTCTGTTCTAGGAACTGGAGACTCAACAGTATAATAAAACAAACCATTGTTGTCATGGTACTTCTACTATGATGGACAATTAGCAAGATTAACAGGGGCCAGCCCGGTGGCATAGTGGTTAAGTTTGGTGCACTCTGCTTTGGTGGCCCAGGTTCATGGGTTTGGATCCCAGGCTCAGACCTACACCACTCATCAAGCCATGCTGTGGTGGTTACCCACATACAAAATAGAGAAAGATTGGCACAGATGTTAGTTCAGGGCCAATCTTCCTCAAGCAAAAAGAAGAGGATTGGAAGAAGTGTTAGCTCAGGGCAAAACTTCCTCACCAAAAAAAACCTCAAAAAAATTAAAAAATAAAATATGGAGTATGTCAGATGATGATTTGTGCTATGGAGAAAAATATAGCAGAGAAGGAAGATGGGGGTGGAATGGTAGGAGAGGATTATTAATGCTAACTCTTTGAGAATAAGTAAAGCGAAGTACTGGATAAATATTGTCCTTTGTTTAGGCTAGAAAATATTCTTATACCTGTGTTCATATAATGAGTTTAATTTATATTTACTCTTCATGCTGAAAAGCTATTTCATTTTAATCATGTTCACTAAAAGAGGCCAAGAATGATCTTATTATATGAAGTATTTGTTTCAATATTTTCAAGAGTATTGACATAATTTTGACAATATGAATTTTTTGTGTAAAACTTTACTTGTTCACTTACAGTTATAAACCATGTTTGGCATAAGAAGAAAATTTTGCTTATCAACTTTTTGACAGTTAACATGCTGATTAGTAACTCATTGGTCTCATTTTAATGAACTCAAGTAGCATAAAAGACTGTGCAGAGTCCTTTAAAAGTAGGAAAATATGTAACAGCTATAATTCTCCTTGTTAAAGGGATTTTTATAAGAAAATAAATGTGACTCTATTAGGTAAATATTAGAGTATGGGATCTCAAGTTTCCATGACAGTCTAGAAGCATGATTTGGGGACAGTTATGTTTGATGGAGTCAAACTGGCTCTACAATTCAACCTTTTGAGGGCTAGGTAATTTTTCTTCCAGCAGATAGTCTTCCAACAATACGGGATAATACTTTGTACATCTTCTCTGATGCTTCTCTTTCAGAGGAGAAAGAGCAGGTCAAATAACAATGATTATTATGAACATTAAGTAATCCAAGGAGAAGCATGTTTTAAATTCACATTTGCCTTTTCTATAACAATGCAGTAAATCAGAAAAAGAACAAGGGGCAACTGTTAACTTGAATTAGTACTCATTAATTAAAATAAGATTCTTAAAGACTTGAAGATACGTCCTGAAACTATAAAACTCCTGGAAGATAATATCATTAGTACACTATTTGACATCAAACTAAAAAGGATCTTTTCAAGCATCATATCTTCTCAGACAAGGGAAACAAAAGAAAAAATAAACAAGTGGGAGTTCATCAGACTAAAGAGCCTCTGCAAGGCAAAAGAAACTAGAATCAAAACAAAGATACCAAAACAAACCCACCAAGTGGCAGAAAATACTTGCAAATCAGATATCTGACAAGGGGTTAATCTCCATCATGTTTAAGGAACTCGCACAACTGAACAATAAAAAAATACACAATCTGATCAAAAAATGGACAGAGGAGATGAACAGACATTTTTCCAAAGAAGATATACAGATGACCAATAAACACATGAAAAGATGTTCAACGTCACTAATCATCAGGGAAATGCAAATCAAAACTACCCTAAGATACCACCTTACACCTGTTAAAATGGCTATAATCACTAAGACTAAAAATAACAAATGTTGGAGAGGGTGTGGAAAAAAGGGAACCCTCATACACTGTTGGTGCGAATGCAAACTGGTGCAGCCACTATGGAAACCAGTATAGAGGTTACTCAAAAACTAAAAATAGAACTACCATACAACCCAGCTATCCAACTACTGGGTATCTACCCAAACAATTTGAAATGAACAATCCAAAGTAACATATGCACCCCTATGTTCCTTGCAGCACTATTCACAATAGCTAAGACATAGAAACAATCCAAGTGCCCATCGACTGATGATTGGATAAAGAAGATGTGGTATATACATACAATGGAATATTACTCAGCCATAATAAGAGACAACTCATCCCATTTCCAACAACATGGAAGGACCTAGAGGGAATTATGCTAAGCAAGATAAGCCAGACTGAGAAAGACAAACACCAGATGATTACGCTCATATGTGGAATATAAACAAATACATGGACAAAGAAAACAGTCTAGTGGTTACCAGGGGATGGGGGTTTGGCGGGTGGGTACAGGGGGTGAAGGGGACCACTTATGTGGTTACAGTCAAGAAATAATGTACAACTGAAATCTCACATTGGTGTAAATTATTATAAACTCAATAAAAAAATTTAAAAAATGAGATTCT